CCCCCCCCCGCCCTACATCCTCAGGTATGGCCTGCAGAGGACCACCCCAGATTTAGGCCACAGAAAGCATTTGTCTTCTCTAGGATAACGACGACATTCCCGGATAAGGCAGATTGGAGGACGAGGATCCAGGCCCCAGACCAGTTATGAGTTACGACTGCGGAGGCCACGCAGCGCCACGACCACAATGCCTCCGTTGCCCCGGCCTCGCCGGAGCATCACATGGTGCTGCCATCTCCGTGCCTGAGGGGGGGCCCCCCAGTTCTGGAGATGAGCCGGGCGTCTCCAGCAGTGCTTGCGGCCACGCAGTTGAAGGCACAGGAACCCAGGAACAAGCCGGGGGGGAGGCTGTTTCCAAAGTACAGCTTGGTGTTGGTTGCGACAGCCTGGCACCTGACCAGCTCCAGGTAGGCTGGGGTGAGTTTCACCTGTTGAGGGAGAGGACACGTGAAGATGCTTCTGAAGGACCCCTCCCTTCTGCCGGACTCCAGAGAGTGGGGGGCTCCCAAGGCCTCCGAGTGGGGGGCTCCCAGGGCCTCCGAGGGGAGGGCTCTTGTGCTCCCCCCACCCCACCCCCCGTCCCGGACCCCAGATGCAAAAGTGACGGGAGCACACCTTGTTTGAAATGGCTGCTTTCTGAGCAGCGTAGTACTTGGCATCTGCCTTTGCCTTCTCTCTGGCTACAAAAGCAGCATCTAAGAGAAGAAGAAGAAGAAAGCACTGCTTAGGCAGGGCCACGGCAGGAGGTCTGGGTCGGCGGGGGGGGGAGGGGAGCACGGCAGGGCCTGCCAGGTGGGAGGGAGGGCACTCGCGGCCACGGTCTGAGCCCCAGGGATCCACTCGCTTTGTTGCTCTGCTACTCTGCTCAGGCACAACAAAACCTGAGACAGCGGATCCAGCGGCTCTAGTCTGGGGGCAAGCTGAGGCAAGGACCACCCTTTCTGCCTCATTCAAAGGCCCTGTGTGTCCCAAGACCCCACCCCTTAGCCGGACCGCTAAGGAAGCACGGGCTGCCTTCTGTGTGGGCCGAAGCCAGGTCTGGCAAAGAGGATCCACTTTAGTAGCAGCAGGAGCCATATTGGGGGGGGGGGAGGTTGGAGCCATACCCCGCCCTTCACTTAGAATCACAGTGTTGGAAGGGACCTCCGGGGTCATCTAGTTCAACCCCCTGCTCAGTGCAGGCGTCTCAGAGTGGCTTACAATCTCCTTTCCCTTCCCCTCCCCACCATAAACACCCTGTGAGGCAGGTGGGGCTGAGAGAGCTCGGAGCGAACTGCCCCTGAGAGAACAGCTCTGAAAGAACTTGTAACTGACCCAAAGTCACTCCAGCAGCTGCACATGGAGGAGTGGGGAACCCAACCCGGTTCTCCCAGATTAGAGTCCACTCTCCTAACCACCGCACCAAACTGGCTCTGGAGGGGAGAGCGCTTTCTCCACCTTTGCTGAATGCCCCACTAAAGCGTCTCTTCCGGCTCGCCTACTTTTCTCCTTCTCTCCCCTCTCCTTGGTGACCAAAGCCCAAGGCTTCCAGAAGCACATGAAGGCCAGCAGCACCCGCCAGCACCTCCTCACCCGTCTGATCCTGCACCTCCGATCTACCCACCCGGTCACCTCAAACTCAACCAAGACAAGAGGCTGAACTTCCTTCCCCCACCCCCCCGCCTTCCTCTCTCCCGTTTGCTTTGGAAGCCGCCTGCCTGCCTGCGAAGTGCTCTCACCACCGGCCCCCTCCTGACTGGCCTTCACTCTGTCTGGGGTTCCCTTTTGCTCCCCGTCGCCTGGCCACGACCCTCCCACAGACACAAGGCCAGAGAGCCCAGGCCGGGCTGCGGGGCCACCGCTCCCCTGCCGTCCCCTCCTCAGGTCTTCCCTCCCTCCCTCTCTCTGTGACTCCGTGGCCACAGGACGGGCAGATCACTTCACTGGTTTTCCGGTCGCCCTTTCTAAAGCAGTCTTCTGCCCCACCCTTTCTCCCCCCGCAAAAGGGACTCAAAGCGTAAAGGCTGACATCCACAGCCCACAGAAGAGCCATCTCTCTCCTGAAGAGCTCTGCTGTGCAGCACCCTGAGGACCGGGCGAGTCGGCATTCTGCTCACGCCACAGAGCAGGAGGTGCTGCTGCAGAAAGCACCCGAGACCACACGGCAGCTGCCCTGCTGCAGGGACCGGGAGAGCTGGAGGCGGCACAGACGTCCAGTCCTCACTTCCAAAGCTCTCCTGTCTCCCCACCCACCCACCCAGCTTGCCTCTCGGCCCTCCTTTCTCCATCTCTGCCTCCTGCCCTGGTGGCCAAGTGGCTGCCAAGTCCCCGTGTGGGACCACCCTCCTCCTCCTCCTCCTCCTGAAGGACCCGCAAGACGCCACTCCTCGGCCCTTCCTTTCCACCCCTCCTCGGCGGCCGCAGCGCACATTCCCAGTGGCCAGCAAGCTTCTGGGCCCGGGTCTGCTCAGGGCCTGCATCTCCCTCTCCACCGGGACACTCCCAGGGGCCCCCGCCCCGCAGGCACCAATCCCAGCCAGACCAGCGTAGCCCCAACAAAGCCCCCCCCCCCCACTTTCCTTCCGGCAGGCGTGGAGCTGGGGAAGGAAGAGAGACTCTGTGCTGTCTGGCACAGGCCCTTCCCTTCCAGGCCGAGCACGGCATCAGATACTCTTGGGCACGCCAGCCAGAAAAAGGTGGACCCTGGCCCGGCTGAGCAGGAAGCCCTCACCCCCACCCTCACCCTTCCGGCGAGGGGGAGCGGGAGGAGGAGGAGGAGGAGGAGAGAGCCGGGCGACACTTGCCTTCTAGCTCCAAAATCCGCTTGCCTATTAACGTCTCCATGACCTTCTGCCGGTATCGAATCTTGGCCACCTCAGCCACCTTCTCGGCTTCTGCAACGAGACATCAGCCTGTTCCCAGCAACTGAACGGCCTGCGGCACCAGCCGCCACAAGCACCAGTGGGGGGGGGGGGGGGGGGTTCGAGGGACAAAATATTTAAGCCATGTTAGCAAAAGAGAGCAAAAAGCCACTTGATGTCCAAGCACCGGGGTCTGTCCGTGGGCCCCCTTTCACATGGCTAATTTGCAACACAACAGCCCCCCCTCCCCCTATAGATAAACAGACGGCATTTCCCATGGGGGGAAAAGAGCACCCCTCTTCACTGCTCCAGCCTGAAGAAGAGTTCTGGAGACCTCAAAAGCGCACACACGCACGTGCACCCCTCACGTGTCATTTTGGACCAGGCCAGCTGAGCAACAGCTTCTGCCCCCCAGCAGGCAGCCCAGGGGCCATCGCCTGGTTTCAACTGCTCCCCTCCCTCTTTCTGGGAGGGGACCGCCTACTGGAGCTCTTGCCCAGGGGGGGGGGCACCTGGACGGCCCAGCCAGGGAAGGGTCAGCTCAGCGCTGGGCGTGAATTCAACCGCTGTGTGTGTGTGTCTCCACCAGAAAGGGTGGCCCCCGTTACCTATGAGCGCCTTCCTCCTCTCCGTCTCCGCCTCCTTCTCCACGACTTTCTGCTTCTCGGCTGCTATCAAGAGTTTGGTCTTTTCTGTTTCCCTGCGGAGCAAAACAGAAGACACTGCTCTGGCCACCTGCTGCCAAAGGTCCGGCCTAATTCCAGCGCCTCCAGCTTTGCTTAAAAGTGGCACCTTATACTACACAAAACTTTGATCCTCATGTCTATAGTTCTCCAGCATCTCTTGTGGGTGGCCTGCAAAGCCTTTGCAGCAGGGGGGGGGGGAAGGCATCCTCGCCACGGGTGAACCCAAGCCCACGCCCAACTCACACCACAGGCGGGGCCTATCCACACCCACCGACTGTAACAAACAAATTAAACCGCACCGGTCCTAATACCGATCCTCACGTTGCCCCCTCTGCTCACTTCCCTCCCCTGCAAGAACTGTCTGTGCGTATTCCTAATCTCGACTTCCTTTCCTTTAGCTCATTTTGAATCCAGAGGTGGCCTGTCTTTTTCATCCCCTGGCCCGGGAGTCTTTGGTGAGGGACCTTACGGGAAAACCTTCTGGAAGTCCGTGTGCATGGCTAGTTCCAGGTCTGGAGCGCAGGCACGCTGAGGGAGCCGAGGGAGCCACAACGCCCAAGCTACGGATCCCCACTGCTGACTCCGCTCTTGCGAGGAGCGCCCACAGCCCCACGTCTTCAAGGGCTCCAGGAGCAGCCCAACAGCTGCGCAAGGGGGCGTTTCACGTGGCCTTTAAAGGGGACTGGAGGAGGCCCTGACAGCGGGCCCAGACCCACGGATCCTGCCCCCACCCCCACAAGGAGCAGGCCGCTGTGGGTGCCCGGCTCTCGGGAGGAATACTCCAGCGGGGAATACTCACACAAGTTCAAAATCCCTCCGGATGGCTTCGGGGATTTTGGGCTTTGTCACACGCACGGCCTGCGTGAAGAAGACAGACCGCTCAAGTCAAGCCACCCTCCCTCTTGTCCTCTCCCAGACCCCAGGCGGCCTTCAGTGCGAGGGACGTCCAAAGACGGTCTGCCACACGTGGCCTCGGCCTCTGCGCTGGAGCCCTGGGCTTCCCGGCTACTCTCCCATCCAAGCCCTGTCCGGGGCGGCTGAGAGCTGAGACAGGATCAGGCCAGCCCAGCCCAGCCCAGGCTGCGCCCTCCTAGGGACGGGAAACTTCTGGAAAGGTTGAAGCCGCGGGGGGGGGGGGAACCCCAAGGATTCTGGGAAAGGCTGGAATAGGTGCCACTCTCTCCTATCAACCCTAAACTAACTTCACTGATGATGTATCAACATAATACATATAACTTATTATATCATATACTATTCTATTCTATTCTTTGGCATGTTTACGGAATTTAAAAGTATAAACATCCCCGTTTTCTATAAGAAAAAACCCAGCAAACATAGCCACTATTTGAGAGGGCCGTTGCAAACGGTTGCTGCACCCTGTGCTGCTCCCTGGCCACGCGTGTCTTAACTCTGTCCCTTGAGATGCCGGGGGGAAGCAGAAATTAAAGACAGCAAACAAATTCCGTAGTAAACAAAAGAAAACATACGTTATACGTTCTGAGAGAGAGAGAGAGAGAGAAAGCTGGTCTTAAATAGCACCTCACTGACTGTCGTGCACAGACGGCCCTATCTAGAAATCTCCTGGGCTGCCTCCCCCCACCCTCTTCCGGGGAGGAACCCTTACCCCCCCCGGCTGCCGGCCTGTGGGGCCTCCTGGCAGAAGCAGTGCTCTGCAGCTCCTTCCTGTGTACAGAATCCAGACAGCTAAAAGCCGGAAGGGCAAAGAAACCTCCCTTGCCTTCTGACGTGCTTGGAGGCAACCTGGGCTACTCCCCTGGGATACCTAACATTTACCCACACCAAACGTTTACCAGCAGGCAAGCAGTGCCAGGTGCCCACCAGAAGGCACAAGGAGCCTCTCTGGACCTCTCAGCTCCCGCCCACCAGCCTCACCCAAGACCGGAACTAGTTACGAGGCTCTTTGTTTACAGGGGAGGCCTTTTCACGCCACCCGGCTTACCTGGATGGTGATCCCTGGCGCCAGGGCGTTCAAGTCCCGCTGCAGTGCCGTCTTCAGGTGGTCGTCAATCTGGTCTAGGAGCAGCAGACAGGAGGGACAGGATCACTACCAAGTCAGCCAGCTGCTCAGGCTTCCCAAAGCTCTTTCCAGCACCCTATTTCTATCATTACCCTTCTGCACAAAAAGAACACCCAAGGAAGCCGACAAATGCAACACATCCGAATTAAATGCAGGAGCAGGCTGGCAAGGAAAAACGGCCTTGGAAAAGGACCCTGCCCCCTCCCCGGAGGGAGGGAGGGAGGGAGGGAGGGAGGAAGAAGGAAAGAAGTAGCACACCTGCCCCCATCTGCAAACCCCCCCCCCTTTTCAAATTTTAAAGCAAACCAGCTTCCAGGCTGTGGTCTGAAAACTGCTTTAAGGAACTTCCCTACAAACCAAAGTCACGTGCGCGCAAAGAGAGAAACCACACCCCCTAATCTCTCCATGGAGTTCCATGCGGAGAAGTCTGATCTGCTTGTCACAGCAATGGATTTTCGTAGGGAAAAAATATCATCTTACTCTTGATCTCTTTGTAATTGTTCTCTAAAGCAGTGATTGGTTCTTAACCATGAGTTTATCAAACAGGTGCATCCGAGCAGACAGCTGACAGGTGCTCGTTATCTTTTCTAATACCAGATAAAAAGGCCAAGCTGAACTCTTATCTCGCTTAAAGGGCAATAAATCTTTCTGTAACTTTTAATTAGCTGTCAAAGATCAAAGGAAACCGTTATGCCACCAGAGTCCACCCAAAGCTGAGCCCAGTTATGAGCGCAGACTCCATGGAAGACACCTCTTGTCAGCAAGTGAGGCAATGACTGGCGCAGGGGGGGGAGCCCACGCTTACCAAAGAGCTCAATGTACACTTCCTGGAGAGTGTGGGCACTGCAGAACTGGTTCAGCTCATGGTGGATCTTGTTAAAGATGAGAGCCTTGTCATAGTCGGCAGTGAAGTTCCTCACGATGTCGTAGGCTGGGGCGGCAGGAGCAGAGAGGGTATTGCAACCTCACGCAAACATAAGACGCCCCAAGCGACACGCACTTCGCCTTGGACACTGGCGCAGGCACCCCCCCACCCCCGGGGCAGTCTCGCCAAGGAAAGGAAGCGCGAGAGCAGCACCCCCGGGGGGCAGCGGAGAGATCAGGCCGGGACCCCCGGGGGTCGCCAACATAGCCCAGGCCCTTGGAGACTTTTGCAAGGAAGGGCAAGCTCTGCAGCTGCCTTTTTAGGGGTGTGCAGCCAGCGCCCCGAACAACCCCGGCTTCCCTGCAGCCTCTTCACACCCGGAAGTGGCACCACCGTGTTGGCACCCTCTGGGGGGGATGCTACTTTTTGGGCAAAACTCTACGGTTTGTAGCCATTTTCCACATGGAGTTTCCCCACAAAAGTAGAGCGTGACTGACGCCCCCGCCCACCCCCACCCCCCCGCTAGCAGGAGGAAGGCACTTGGCAACCCTGCGCTGACCACAGCGGGAAACTGGATGGGATTCAGCTTTGGTCTGACTCAGGAGCCCTCTTCTGACACGTCTAACTCTGTTGCTTCCCCAGCGCTTATGTCCCGGCCAAATCAGTCCACCTGACTGCGGTGAAGCCTCTGACAACCACTTTTTTCTACAGCCGAGATTTATTCATAAGAGATTCTTTATATGGACCAGCTGCCTGCTTAGCTCAAGGGGCCCGTCTTAACTTCTGTGCCAGCACACCCATCTGTACACTCGCTCTGATGGGGGGGGGGGGGGGGGGGGGTCTGGTTTACAAACCAGAGACAACCACCTGAAGCAAAGACCTCCGAAAGCCCGGGCAGAGAGCACTCCCAGCCCCTCCGAGCCTTCTCGCCAGGCCCCCCTCCTCCCTGACGGGAGACAAAGCTCCTTGTGTAGGGGGGAATACCTGCATGCGGCGCCAAGACGTTCACCACTTCAATTCGATCGATGTAGATCATGACACCACCACTAAGAGAAGACGACACCCGTTAGTGGCACTGGAGAGAGGTGCCCTCGTTTGCTCCCGAACACACACAGAGCCACGAGTCCCGTGCCGGTTCAGATCACACACATTTGCCTGGCAGCGCCCCTCTCCCGTTCCGGCAGGGCTTAACCCCTACGCAGGAGAATCCTCTCTGAGCAGCTCAGCTGGTGGCCTTCCAGACCTGACAGGCGGGTGGTGGAGCCGGGGGGGGGGGGACACACACTGGGCAGCACAGTCTGCATCAGCGCCCAAACCCTCCCATGGAGGGTTTTGCCCAGCAGGAACCAGTGCAGGCTCTTGATTTTCTCAGCTGCTGTTTCGTATGGCTTGGCCCAAACTCAACATCTGTCTGAGCGCCTCTCTATGAAGCTCAGTGCCACTGCCAGCGCAGACAGAATTCTGTCTGCGGCTCAGAACGCA